TTTGGCAGATGGAGTGGAGAAAAAAAAAAGTCAGTCAATAAATGCCTGACTGGGTAAGATAGCAGATTCTGTTGCGATTTTTATGCCTGCACTTTATGCCAGGAACTGGCAGCTTCTGCTGTGTATTTTTTATGCCCGCACACTCACTCTCTCCTCTGCTCTGCCACCCGCACAACCACATCGGATGCCGGACTATAGGTCACGCCTCCTGAATCTCGCGTGACTTGTTATCTATGCGCATGCGTAATAGATAGCAAGTACGGCGGCCGGCGAGGCAGCTGGCGAGATCACAAGCCTCCTATGTCACCGAGCGTCATTGTGATGGAACGCAGCGGAGTGCAGTGATGACAGCGCGGTGCGGATTTGGCCCGCGGGCCTTGTGTTTGACATGTGTGGTCTAGAGTCTAAAAGGGGAGAAAAAGATTAAATACACAAAAAAAGAAAGAAAGAAAAAAAAGATTAAATACACTCACAAACACTCACACTACAATTGTGAGGTTGTTACAGAGACAAAGACAGAACCCATCCCACTGCTCAGGGATGCCTCCTCCCTGGGGAAGTGAGATGAGATCTGCAGGACAAGGAGAAGTTAACTAAGAATGAGAGCATTGAAGAGAAGTTGGAGGAAACATGTCAGGCAGAAGGAAGACATATGCAAAGCCCGGGAGCAGAGGGAAGGTGGTACAAATGTGTAGCCACTGTAGCCCAAAGTGAGGAGTATGGTCTTTACCCTAAGTCCGAGGAAGAGTTTCTGAGGCTTTTTAAATTTTGAATTTTTAGTGAAGGAGTAATAAGTTTTCCATTTTTTGAAGATTCCCTGGGTGGCAGTGTGAAAAATAGACAAGGGGATAGATAGGCATGGCCATAAGGAGACAATGAAAAGGTATTGTAGTCTTTCAGGTGAGATGAGATAGTGTCATGAATTAGAATGACTATAAACTTGGTAAGAAATGGATAGAAAAGTGCTGATGAAGTTGGGCTAGTCCCAGAGACTTCCATCCATCATGGGTTCTGTTCCTTCTCCACACTTCCACTTGACTGCTTTCTTCCCTTTTCCCTCCCCTTTCCATTTTCACCTCTTCACTATTGAAAAGGAAGCTCACACTGTCTCTCTAGTGCCTTCTGGTGGTCATAAGTAATCACTACGTTCATGTTTGCAGGGCCACGCTCCCTTTAAAACCTGAAGGGAAGAATTCCTTCCTTGATTCTTCCTAGCTTCTGAAGGTTTATCAGGAATTTTTGGTATTTCTTCGCTTGCAACGTCATAACCTCAACTAATTACATCTCCAATGACCCAACTTCCAAATTAGCTCACATTCTGAGAGTTATGACATCAACGTATTTTTCTGGGAGGTCAAAATTCAATCGATTAACACCAAGTAATTAGTGTCAGAGCTGGTGCAAGAACCCTTTACTTGGTGCCCTAAACAAGCCTGTATTCTTTTTTCTTTTTTTCTTTTTTTAAATATATTTTTTATTGATTTTTTACAGAGAGGAAGGGAGAGAGATAGAGAGCCAGAAACGTCGATGAGAGAGAAATACCGACTAGCTGCCTCTTGCACACCCCCCACCGGGGATGTGCCCACAACCAACGTTGGGCTAGTCCCAGAGACTTCCATCCATCATGGGTTGGGCTAGTCCCAGAGACTTCCATCCATCATGGGTTGGAATTGAACCTGGGACCTTTCAGTCCGCAGACTGACTCTCTACCACTGAGCCAAACCGGCTTCGGCTAGTCTGTATTCTTATAATGCATTTATCTCACATGCATTGGATATAACTCTAAATTTTAGTTGAACTTTTCTTTTAGGAGAGTGTAGTTTATAGTGATTTATATTGTTGTTTTGCTTATGGTTGACCCTTACCAGTCTTATTTTTTAAACAGCTTTAATGAGGCTTAACTGATGTTCAATATTTTGTACATATTTAAAGTATGAAATTTTGTAGATTTTTTTGTAGCAAAGGTGGAAATTTATTGAAGAACAAGTACGGACTCCCATCTGGGGGGGCAGAAAGAGTCCCCTGTAGACTTTGGCATATGTATAAATTCATGGAACCTCAATACAGTAAGCATCTTTAGTACTATGGAAACTTCCCTTGTATTCCTGTGAAGTGCCTCCTTCCCATTCCTGCTACCCCCACATTCCTTTCTTTTTAAAGAAATATTTTTATTGATTTCATAGAGGAAGGAAGGGGAGAGAGAGATGGAAACATCAATGATGAGAGAGAATCATTGGTTGGCTGCTTCCTGCACATTGCACCCCCCCACCCCCCACCCCTCCACTGGGATCGAGCTTGCAACCTGGGTATGTGCTCTGACTGGGAATCAAACTGGTTCATAGGACAATGCCCAAACACTAAACCACACCAAACAACACTGATCTGCTTTCTTTGCTATATGTAGATTAGTTTGTATTTTCTAAAGTTTTATATAAATGGAATTATACAGTATGTACTCTATTTTTTTTGTTTTGTTTTTTGCCTGGCTTTCATTCAGTATAATTATTTTGAGCTTCAACCATATTATTGTTTGTATCAATAGTTTGTTCTCCTTTTTGTGTGTGTGTGTGTGGTACTCATTTGAAGACATTTTCCACTGATTTTTAGAGAGAGTGGAAGGGAGGGGGTAAAGACAGAGAAACATTGATGTGAGAGGGACACATTAATTGGTTGCCTCCCACATGCTCCCCAACAGGGATTGAACCTGGTACGTGCTCCTGGGGCTGGTGGATTGTCGGTTGACTAAATGGGTGGGAGGATCTACTTTAGCAGCCAGGACTTAGACAGGGTTCGAATCTGTTCCATATGTTTCATTCTGGAGCCCGGGGGTGGAGGTGCAGGGCTACCCGGGGCATGCTCTCTTCTGACAATAACTGGAGCACAAGATGCCAAAGAAGACTATGCAAGCACATTTTTAGCGTCTACTCTGTCACACGGGCTAACATCCCATTGGCAAAGCAAGTTCCATGGCCAATTTCAACATCCATGTGGTGGGGAAATAATCCTTGTCCACTGCAGTGCTCTGGAAGATCACATGACAGATGAAGGCGTAATTCACTCTACCTCAGGAAGCCACAGGGTTCTTGGGTGGTTGTGAGGACTTACCTTGCCGCCTCTTGGGAAGTGGAGGGACAGAGAACTTGCTCCAAAAGAAACTGGGGGAGGATGAGTCCTGATAAGGAGCTGTGTTATACTGGCGCCAGGACACAAGCTGGCCTCTCTATTTCCTCCTCGCTGTACCTTCCTGTTCCTCTGTTCCCTTCTTCTCCTACCTAGCACTCTTCAACTGGGGCTCAGCCATGGTGATGCCAATCAGACAAGGAATGGGGTCCAGCCAGCAGCTGTAGCAACAGCTGCAGGAGTGTGGCTATCCATTCAGAGAGCCGGCGACCGCAGGAGCAGCAAGGCCATGGCAGAGGCAATCAGAGAATGAGACCTCAGGGTCCTGCTTCCCATAACACAGAGTGTGGCCAAATAAGCAGTCTCCAAAATACTTTGTAAATGGTTAAAAGACACTATATAGGAGATTAAATGGGAGACTCTTCGTTTTAGTTTCAGCTGAAGCCTTAAGACAATACATGCCACATTTCAAAGCGAAATGGAAGACCACACATATTTACAAAAGGAGAGTAGAGAAAGATACTTTTGCATCTTTAGTTGATATTCCACTGTCAGTTTATAAAAGATGTGGGAGAGTTAAGGAAAAGTGCTGGAGAGAAGAGGGATGGCTTCCTGAGGCAGAGTTCATGTACTTTCATGATCTGAGGGTGACTGGAGAAGCCATGGTAGTTGCCTGAGTTTTTAATCCAGAGGCAAGAGAGGAACCCACCCCACAGAATAAATGCAAAGGTCTGATGGGACAAAAATAAAAAAAAATGCTCTTATATGGTTATATCCCATGAATCAGACTGAATATTTGAAACACATTACTGGAATGTGATTATGATTTACTTTATTAAGTGATTTATTAGTTACTATGGCAGAAATTGCTAATTGTCCACTGCAGTAGAACAAAAGTAGTACTTATGTAGATACTATGTTTTCCAGGCCCCCTTGCAGCTAGGAATGGCATGTGATTAAATTCTATAAATGGAAGTGACATGTGCCTTTTCTAGGCCTTAAAACATAGCATATGTGTTTCTCCACACTTATTCCTCTTCCTGAAATTTAGAGTAGGGAGTGCCTTCAATCCAGCTTTGTTCAAGTAGGTAAAGATATTACCCCAGGGCAGTGCTTCTCAAATGTTTCTCTGCATAAGAATCACCCAGGGAGTTCAATAAAACAGAGGTTAAAACTAGGATTCAGTAGGTCTTCAGTGGACTCAACAATTTGCATTTCTAGCTCCCAAGTGAAGCTCATACTGCTAGTCCTCAGACCACACTTGGAGGTGTACCACTGCAGAGTACGGTGGAGATGCAGGGGGAAAAAAATCTGGGTTTCTGAATGTCTTGTGTGGGACAAGGGAGCTTTTCTACCGATCTTGGGCTATTTTGTGAGAGGATCATATTTTTGGGACTCTATTATAATAGCTTGGTCATTTACCCTAGCCAACATAATCATCCTGACGTTCTGCCAATTCTTCCCCATGTCTAAACCAAATCTCTCCCACAATTCTCTTCTGTTTTATCTTGAACTTCCCTTCATGGTTATGGAGAATAAGATTAGCCACCTCTACTAAATGAATTTCAAAGAAGCTGGCATCTAGAATGTTATATTCAGCTGTCAATTCGCTTAGATGGGTAACCCATTTCTCAGGCGAGGATTTTCCCTCAAGTATCTTTCCAGAGGAGATATGGTGGGCTTAGAGAGAACAGGATTTCCATGTAGCAAATCTCCATCATGACCGAGCCTTTAAACATAGCTACTTGAAAGACAGCTGAATTTCAGTAATTTTTTATTTTGGATGCAAAGATGGGGGAACATTCACAGCTTCCTAGGACCTTGAAGAATTGCCCTGCCTTCTGGGCCACCTTCTCCATGAGCCACGTTCAAGGACAGTCTCACAGCGCACATTTGGCCAGGTATTTGGATAAATCCTTATTTTTGCAGTTCTTTTCCCAGGGCATCCTAAGGATAGAGAAATAAGACATAGATCAAAGCCAGAGTCAGAAGTCTGTAAGGGCTCGATGGAGAGGGAATGCAGGGCCTGCAGGCTGGAGTCTGTTTATGCTGTGGGAGAGTCCTAGGCATTGAAGGCATGCCCACCTGAGGCACAAGTGGGTGGGTGCTGCAGGGATACCTGGGGTGAAAACATCACAATATTATTCTGCCTCATTTCACCTCAGCAGAATAGTCCCGACTCCTTACAAAGCCCAGGGAAAACCCTACCACAGAGATGCTGCTCACATCAGCATCCTAGACACAGTGCGGACCCATCCTCGGCAGAAGGGCAGGTCTCTGCCCTGCACAGTCTCCTTACCAAGCAGGCATCCCCTTGGATTCGCTCACAATCCTCTTGACACAGTTGATGTCATCACTGATGTCATCATCCACAAGTTCTGAAAGGAAAAGGGGATGAGTGCAGAGAGAGAGAGAAAAATCCCTTTTCCTGTTTTCATCATTAATCATTTTTCGAAGAGTCCCAAAGGAAACTTGAGATTCAGAAACCCTTTCAGAGGGTTTGCCTTTCATTTGCCGGGATCTGGTGCCTTTGCTAAGAATCTGGGTTTTTTGGTCCTGTTCTCTCCAGAAGGCATCCAGGACTTGGTGGACCAGAGAGAGACGTTGCTTCAGGCATCTGCTTAGTGTGTCCCGGGTGCTATGTGCATTTGTGGAATGGTGGTGCAGAGTGTCCTGTCAGGAGTGGGGTAGCATATCTTGAGAGATGGGGACTCATGAAGGCGAGGCTTAGTCAAGGGTCAGTGTATCTCCCTCCCCGCTTTTCAGCAGAAGGGTCTCTGTGGAATCCTGTTTTAGTGTGAGGACTACTCAGGGCCCTTTTATTTTGTATACTCAGCTCCCACAGTGCATGCTGAGGGTCAGGTGTGAGGGAGTAGTGCATTGAATTTGGCACTTATTTGATCTGCCCCCGCTCCACCCGGCCCTCAGAGGGGATAGTGTCCTTACCGCTGCACTTTATGTTGCAGCCGTTTTTTGAGGGATAGTTCTTGTCTTGGCACCACCTCTGGTTGTTCAGCTGGAAGATCCCATAGTCACGACTGCCATTGGAGTTTGTTCCATAAAAAGCCAGGGTGTTGAGGTTACTCGCATACTCGGCCATGCAGACCCCTGTGTTAGAGAGAGCAAAAGATGTGGATAAAAAAGAGATCTCCATAATAAGATTCAACTTGTGCTTTACTAGAGCTACCAGAAAGAAAAGTCCATTAAGACTGAAATGCAGCCTAAACCGATTTGGCACAATGGATAAAGCATCGGCCTGCGGACTGAAAGGCCCCAGGTTCGATTCCGGTAAAGGGCATGTATCTTGGTTGTGGGCACATCCCCAGCGGGGGTGTGTGAAGGAGGCAACTGATCAATGTTTCTCTCTCATCGATGTTTCTGACTCTCTATTCCTCTCCCTTCCTCTCTGTAAAAAAATCAATAATATATATATATATATATATATTTTTTTTTTTAAAAGACTGAAATGCAAAGACTATGAGACCCTCAATGTTAGAGGTCATTTGTAATCCAGGTGTATCCCCAGGCTTAAGCAATAATGAGGCCATGGTAAGCATGTAATAACAATTTGTTAAATATTTGGAATGCCCAATCATTAATCACGGTCTGTTCCACAATCTAACCTTTCCAGCCTCACCTTCCAGCCAAATATCTAATTCTTGTCATGTATATGCACTTTTGCTCTATATCCCAAGGTATATGCAAGAGAAGAGGTATAGGAAGGAATTCTAGACAGACTATATTTGGGGGTAATAAGAAAGAAAAGGTTTGGCATGGAGAAAATTGAAGCTATTCAAGAGAAGGTAAAATAGTTGATGATTCTCAATGTGATGATTCTCAATCCTTTTCATTGCCTCGCCTTCTATTCTCATGATCCCCATTTAACTCCCTTGTGACACTAATAGAACAACCTTAGATAAACCCAGCAGATGTAGGTTATTTTTGGTAGAGGAGAGGGTGGGAGGCAACACCTATTGTGCTACAATGACTTGGACTAAAATGAATGCAGGGGAAAGCAAAGATGATGGCTGCAAAACTAAAAGTAGGTAGGTTAGGTTTTGCGTATGTCCAAGGAAATATTCCAAGCCATTGGGTGCGAAGGTGATTTGGGGGAGAAGCTAAAGAAAATATATGATAGGATAACTCCTGGTAGAAAGAGAGAAAAGGAGAACCAAATAGGAATTACAAGACAGAGGAGATAGAGACAAGAAGAACAGACAGGGTAGTGGGAGAAAGCTGGTTTGGGAAAAGTTTGCTGGGTTGGAGAAGAGAGCCACTTTGAACAGAGACAGAAGGGAAGGGCAGTTGGGAGTGACCAGACCAGCAGGGGAGGGCAGTAGGGGGTGACCGGGCCTGCAAAAGAGGGCACTTGGGGGCGATGAATGAATACTTCATACTCACAGTCTGCTAAGCTATAGCCATAGTAGCCATTCATTCCATGAGCCTTCAGCTGGTGGGCCATCTGACATTTGGAGAAGCCTTTGGCATTGTAAGCCGCAAAGAAGCAGCTGAAGAGAGAGATGATCAGGATTGCGCTCATTTTTGCAGCTAGTGCAACCCAAGAACTGGTATGTCCAGGGCACTCTTATCTCTTATACCTTGTAGACACAAAGGTGTCTCTGAGTGAACAGTTGTGCTGGCATCTGTGCCAGGAAGAAAGACTTGGCTGCCAAGGCTAATTACCCAAGCTGATCTTGCCAGTGTGAATTTCAAGGAAGGGAATGTAACCAAGAATGGTACCATAAATAAAGTTTCAATGGGGAAGCAGGCAGTCCTAGATTTGGGCCAGTGCAGGGTGGTAAGGGGTGGGGGTGGAAAGGGGAAAGAAGGAGATGATAAGAGAAAGAAGTGTGATTTTCAAGGCTTGTATTTTGTTGGAGTGTCCCCAAAGGAGGTTGTCCTATTATACATGCTTTGTGGAACTTTGCCTGTCTGTATCGTTTCACATTTTGTTGCATTTTGAATTCTCTGTCATTTATATCACACTAGAGGCCTGGTGCGGGAAATCTGTGCACAGTTGGGGGGAGGGGAGGAGAGCCTGGCCTGCACCCTCTCAAATCTGGGGCCTCTTGGGGGATGTCCGACTGCTGGTTTAGGGGTCAGGCCTAAACCAGCAGTCGGACATCCCTCTCACAATCCGGGACTGCTGGCTCATAACTGCTCACTTGCTTGCCTGATTGCCCCTAACTGCTTCGACTTGCCAGCCTAATTGCACCCTAACCACTCCCCTGCTGGCCTGATTGATGCCTAACTGCTCCCCTGGTGGCTTGGTCACTCCCAGCTGGTCTGATCTCCCCCAACTGCCCTCCCTTGCAGGCCTGGTCACCCCGAACTACCCTCCTCTGCCAGTCTGGTTGCCCCCAACAGCCCTCCCCTGCTGGCCTGGTTGCCCCCATCTGCTCTCCCCTGCTGGCCTGATCGCCCCCAATTGCCCTCCCTTGGTTGTCCCTAACTGCCCTCTCTTGCCAACATGGTCATGATTTATAACCTGTCAGACACTGGTGTAGACTCTAGGTAGGTATATAGCAGTGAAAAAACAAAATTTGGTTAGTAGAGTTATCTATCTACTACTTTCAGTTATCCATATCTTAAGGAAGGGTCCATATTACCATGATCAGATACCCCCTTCATTCAGAGCTTGCTTTTCTGAATGCAAAAATCCTGCCTGGGGAAAAAATTCACCTTCATAGAACTAGCTTCTTGTATCCTCATCTCCAACTCACTGATATCAAGAATGAATGGAGATCTTTAAAAGGGCAATGAAAGAAGGCAGAACCTGGGAAATCACCAACTGTAGATACTCCCCTCCCCCCTAAATATTTTTCTCTTTTCTTCGTCCATCGAAGCTAGAGAACCGTCCAGTTCCTGAGTAGGGGCGGCTGGGGATTGAGAAAATGAAAAAAAAAAGAAAAAAAAAGAGACAGACACAGTTCGAAGGAAAAAGCTTGGGCCGGTGGGGCCACTGTCCTCTGACATGGACAGGGACAGGAACAGTGACCCCGAGCCAACACAGCATGTTTATTTTCTACAGCAACCCCCCCCCCCCCCAAACCAGGAAGTTTTACTAAAAGTCAAGACAAAGGAGATTATGTGCATTCTTTTCTTAAGGTTTACTTGTAAGACTTTTATTGTGATTGATCAGTGGAGGCAAAGAGCACAGTTCATCTTTATTGAGACATAAATAATGATTAAATGTTCTGTATCGGGCCTCATTATAAGTGAAAAGGGACCTTAATGAGTTTTATCTCTAAGTCATATGGGGCAGGGTGCTTCTTTTATTTTATTTTATTTTTTCTTTTACATTTTTTATTAAATTATTATCTGTGTGCATATTTTAACATTGCCTGACCACCCCCTCCCCGTACACACTCTCCCTCCCCAGAGTTTTGTGTCCATTTGGTTGTACTTATATGCATGTATACAAGTCCTTCGGTTGATCTATTATCTCCCCCAGATCTCCCTACCCTAGCTGCTGTAATTTGACAGTCTGCTTGTTGCTTTACTGTCTCCATATCTATCTTTTGGTTCATCAGTTTATAATGTTATTTATTATCCATAAATGAGTGAGGTCATGTGGTATTTATCTTTCTCCCACTGGCTTATTTCACTTAGCATATGCTCTCCAGGTCCATCCATGCTGTTGCAAATGGCAAAAGTTTCTTCTTTTTTTTTTATATCAGCATAGTGTTCCATTGTGTAGATGTACCATAGTTTTTTGATCCACTCATCTGTTGATGGGCACTTAGCATGTTTTCTAATCTTAACTATTAAATTGTGCTGCTATGAACATAGAGATGCATATATCCTTTCTGATTGGTGTTTCTGATGTCTTGGGATATATTCCTAGAAGTGGGATTACTGGGTCAAATAGGAGTTAAATTTTTAATTTTTTGAGGAAACTCCATACTGTCTTCCACAGTGGCTGCACCCATCTGCATTTCCACCAACAGTGCACAAGGGTTCCTTTTTATCCAAATCCTCTCCAGCACTTGTTGTTGGTTGACTTGTTGATGATAGCCATTCTGAACTCATTGTCATTTTTATTTTCATCTCTCAGATGATTAGTGACTTTGAGCATGTTTTCATATGTCTCTTGGCATTCCGTATGTCCTCTTTCAAAAAGTGTCTATTTAGGTCCTTTGCCCATTTAAAAAAATATATTTTATTGATTTTTTTACACAGAGGAAGGGAGAGAGATAATTAGAAACATCGGTGAGAGAGAACCATTGGATCAGCTGCCTCCTGCACACCCCCCACTAGGGAAGTGCCCACAACCAAGGTACATGCACTTGTCCGGAACCAACCCGGAACCCCCCAGCTGACGCTATATCCACTGAGCCAAACCAGTTTCAGCCCATTTTTTGATTGGATTATTTATCTTACTTTTGTTATGAGTTCCTTGTAAACTTTGGAGATAAAACCCTTATCGGAGATAATATTGGCAAAAATGTACTCCCATGCAGCAGTCTTTCTGGTTGTTTTGTCAAAGGTTTCTTGAGATACCGTAATTTAAAAAAAATATATTTTTATTGATTTTCTTACATAGAGAAAGGGAGAGGGCTATCCCTCTCCCTTTCTCTATGTAAGAAAATCAATAAAAACATCAATGAGAGAGAAACATGGACCAGCTGCTTTCTGCACACCCCCCACTAGGGATGCGCCCGCAACCAAGGTACATGCTCTTGACCAGAATCGAACCTGGGACCCTTCAGTCCACAGGCCGATGCTCTATCCACTGAACCAAACCAGTCAGGTAAAGATACCTTAATTCTTAATGCTTCTTCTTCTTCTTCTTTTTTTTTTTTAAATATATTTTATTGATTTTTTACAGAGAGGAAGGGAGAGAGCTAGAGAGCTAGAAATGTCGATGAGAAACATCGACCAGCTGCCTCTTGCACACCCTCTACCGGGGATGTGCCCGCAATCAAGGTACATGCCCTTGACCAGAATTGAACCCAGGACCTTTCAGTCTGCAGACCCGATGCTCTACCACTGAGCCAAACCGGCTTCGACTCTTAATGCTTCTTTTTTTTTTTTTTTATTTTTTTAAATTTTTAAATTTTTATTTTTTACCATGTCCCCAGGCAGCTGCATCACCCTACACAGGGCAAGGTGGTCGCAGCCCCCGGAATGTTTCTGTGGCAGACAGAAAAAGCACCCGCCTGGGACTGCAGCCGGGTGCAGAGTGAGTCTGCAGTCTTAATGCTTCTTATTACCATCTCCCTAGCCCTCCTTTCTCAATCTGCCAGCCTCAGTCCTTGCCACCTTAGATGAATGGTTTGCAACTGTTCCCCACTTCGTGTTATGCTCTGCTCCCTCTTGCATTCTTTTCAGTATTATTTACTTAACCCATTTTTCAACTAATATTTATGGAGTGCCTATAGTACTTAAGCACTATACCAGGCATACAATTTTTGATCCCTACTCCATTCCAACTAGAAAAAATGAAGTTACTCATTTTGAGGCAGTAGCTGAGAATAAAATATGGCTGCCTAGGTCTTGGATTGTGTAAAGAGCCTGGGTGAGATAATAGATAAGAAAGGGAAGAATAAAAGTTTTTTTCTAGGTAGAAAGGAAAGCCAGTGTTTACTGACTTAGAGTTTATGATAATAGTAATAAAAATATCCAACTTGTGTTTAAAAATTTGTTTAAATTTTAGCTTTTTTCCTGAGGTATCTGTGAATTTAAAGGAAGTGATATATATATATTTGGTATTAAGTTTTATATATATTTTAAGTGTATACACACACACACACACACACAACACACACACACACAAAGTGACAAGAGCACCAGAACAACCGGTTGCAATGACTTATACTGCAGTGGCCAACTGGCCTGATGGGGGCCCTGATTGGCCCTCCCCTGCCCAACAGTAGCCCCTCCCCCCCAGCCTGCCCAGCCCCGATGGCCTCCATTAGGCCCAACCCTGATGGCCACCCTCATGCACAAATTCATGCACCGGGCCTCTAGTTTTTGTATAAAAATGTGCCATGACCTTAATTTAAGAAACATTTATCACCCTGGCTGGGTGGCTCAGTTGGTTGGAGCATCATCCTGTACACCAAAAAGGTTACAGGTTTGATTCCCAGTCAGGGCATATACCTAGGTTGTGGATTTGATTACCGGTTGGGGCATGTAAAGGAGGCAACTGATCAATGTTTCTTTCTCATATCAATGTTTCTGTCCCTTCCCCTTTCTCTAAAAAAATCAATAAACATATTCTCAGGTGAGGATCAGAAAAAAAGGAAATATATTTTTTTAAAAATATATTTTATTGATTTTGTACAGAGAGGAAGGGAGAGAGATAGAGAGTTAGAAACATCGATGAGAGAGAGTCATCGATCAGTTGCCTCTTGCACACCCCTACTGGGGATATGCCCGCAACCAAGGTACATGCCCTTGACCGGAATCGAACCCGGGTCCCTTCAGTCCCCAAGCCGACGCTCTATTCATTGAGCCAAACCGGTCCCGGCAAAAAAGAAATATTTATCAAGATTTATAACCTGTCAGACACTGGTCTAGACTCTAGGTAGGAATATAGCAGTGAAAAAACAAAATTTGGTTAGTAGAGTTATCTATCTACTACTTTCAGTTATCCATATCTTAATGAAGGGTCCATATTACCATGATCAGAT